CTTTCAGCCCCAATTTTACCCCCCGGAATGGGCAGTTTGTAGCTATCTGTCTGGCAGTCAGTCATTCAGTCATTCGGGGCAATTGTTTCATTCATGGACCCGCCAAAAAGGCAAGAGGCGTTTATCATCCCAGTCTCGTACCGTCTCTTTCTCGGCCGCTCAGGCCATCTCTTTCTACCGCTGCGTAGGCTTTTGGCAGTGTGTATGTGTGAGCAAAACAAACCATAAATGTGCGTGGAAGGCGAAAGAGGAAAAAGAAATGAGAGAATCCAAATTTTTGTCAAAGGGTCGTGGCCCCCTCAGCTCCCCCCCTTAACCCCCCTCAGCCCACTTAACCCCCTCACGACCATAAGTCAATGTCAATGGCACGCACACACAGACAGACACACTTCACTTTGGGGACAGTCGAAAAAAGTTGTCGTGTTGACTTTCTGGGCTGATTTTCCACGTTTAATAGGACCTTGACATGCCATGTTTGCTTGACAAACGAAATGTGGCCAGAAAATTTGTTATTTGGTGTTTATGGCGGCGTTTAAACGGCAGGGCCCATATTCACTTAAGATCTGCAAAGAGATGAGATAGATGGTGATACTTGAAACTGGTTTGCAACTGCAGGCCGTCATTCACTCACTCACACAGATACTCACCCATACAAGTGCAGCGATAAAAAGATACAAAGTGCAAACCAGTTCCGCGATGCGAAATAACGGCGAAAGAAAATCAAAACTATAACTTTTCTTGCAAGCCAAATAAAATGAACAATAAAACAAGCACTGGACACACAGATTTATCACTATTTTACCATGGATTTACTCGGGAAGTTGCAGTTTTATTTTTAGCTGATGGCTTTTTTGCGGTTGTTTGCTTTCCAACGTTTTGCGTTCATTTGAAGCCGTTGCCCGACGATTTCTTGTACGCCGCTCGGTCTCTCAAACGGCGACAGCGACGTCGACAGCGACGCCGGCAGCGCTGCCGCTATATCTGTGCGTATCTCACAGATATCGTAGCCCCAGTACGGCAGAGTATCTGTGTGAGAAGTATCTGTGAGCGGAGCGCACTGGTGTGAGTTTGCCGTTCGTGCGCAACTCACACGCACGTGCTTCGAAATTTCCCTGGGGCACTCACTCACACATCCAAAAATCTAACCTCTATGGTACTTTTTGGCCAAGCCAGTTAACGCTTACTGAATCGAAATTGGGAAATTTCGAAATACTAAATATCCCCACCACGTGCTGCCCTTTGTTTTGCTTTTGTGCTTTTCGCGCTGCAAAGAAAGCTTACCGGCCCAGCAGCTGCTTTAGCTTTTTGTTCTTGCCCGCCATGGGGGGAAGTACATAACCCCGCCCACTTTTCCGAGCGGGTATCCAATCCATTTATGAGCCTCTTTCGCCTCTTTCGCTGTTGTTGCAATTAACGACCATTTGAATTATATTTGCGCTCGTAAAGTTTACAAGAACTCTCCGCCGGCCTGCCCATCTGAAAAAATAAGAAGAAATAGCAGAGAGGCCTTTTCTCATTTTCCCATTCACTTCGAACGTAGACAGCAGAAATTTTTACGACTTTTCTGCACAATGCGCAAATACAACGACAATGGACCAGTCGACCCGTTTCCCCCCAGCCAAACCTTGCCCCTCCACCTTCGCATTCCTCTTTGACTTCGGATTTGAACTACTGGGCCTGTGGATTTTATTGTGGGTTTTCTCATTTCATAAATCGGTTGTTGATAACACATATTTGCACTCGACTTATATTAAAAATTCTCGAAAATAGTTTGAAGGCCTTTTATGAGATCAGACCAACAAGAACTTTTATGAGTTTTACGTTGTTTACTTGGCATTATTAATCTTAATAGAATAGTTGTTTTGCTTTGATTTATGAACAAATTAGTTTGTACATAAATGAACAATGTCTCAACAACAATGCTTTTAAATCATACATTTTTTATTTTAATACCTTTTTTTACTCAGCTTTTTTGTTATTGACATAGCTGTTAAAATGTTTAACATAATCTAATCATAATATGTAAAAAATATTAAGTTTAAGCTAGAAGTATTTTTATAAGGGGAAACTCTTTTGCGGATGTAAATAATTGTGTGTACGTTATTTTTTAATTTAATTTTTAATTTTACATAAGTCCTTAAAGTATTAAATCCAAAAATATTAGGAAGATTAGTACGGTAAAATTGTTACAGCAATATATGTATGCTAAAAATCTGGTTCATTTTAAAAGTAGGAATAGATTATCGGAACTTAAATTACTCTTTAATACTTTCAATCGTCTCATCTTGAAGTATTAAAATACATAGTTTTGCAACCAATACCGCAAAGTTATTGCTGACACTATTTGTTTGGAACTGCAATATGGAATTTTCAGATAATTGTTGCCCTGGTATGGGTGCTCGCCGTTCACCCCTCAGTAGATAATTAACAACCCTTAGCTGCGAGTTGTCTTTTGCACCCTTACCTCAGAATCTGTGTGCTTGTGTGTGTGCATCGATGCGCTTACCCCTAATTGCAATGCCATAAAAAAGTGCAATTCAAGCGAAGGACAACCACCGAAGCAGAACTGAGAGAGCAGAGGAAGGCTCTTGGCATTTTGCCATTACATTGCAACCATGATTACGATTAGAACGGGCATTGTCTTGCCACCAGCCAGCAGGACGAAGGACTAGGGACACGGGACTCCGGACTCTAAGGACCCAGAACTCAGAGCCCAGAACTATCAGCAGCAGCAAAGTTGGATATTTCAGGGGGTTGCGGAGGGATCAAATTATGCGAAACTGCATTTTCACTTTTCGCATCGCCAAGCCCGGACCATTTGCACCATACGGCCAACTGGCGAAGATGGCCAAGCTGCAGCTGCTGCTAAATTCGATTCTTGGTTGGAAGTGTCCTGGCTGGCAAAAAGCATCCTTTTCTGCATGCAAATTCCCTCGTCTTGGTATATCGAAAATCTCGAGAAGTGCAGCCAATCAACTGGAAATTGCCAAGCTTCGAGTTAAGTGCGCTGCCAGCTCCCCAGGCATTAGAATTGATAACAAATACAAAGGCACCAGCAACATCAGACGCATCTGCAGTAGCAACTACTATGAAAGCCCACATGAGGGCAAAACAGCAAAGTGAATAAGGCAGCTGCAAGTTCAGACTATCAGCCAAACCACCAAGAGAGTCTTTAAATACAACAGAAATCTATTTCTTAAACGAAAAATAATATGTTATACATATTGGGATATTGTTATTTTAAATATTTAAAAAAAATCTTAACAAGTATATATATAAAAACGAAAACTACTGCAATATTTGACCTATCAATAATCATTAGATTTAAAAGGCACAATTTAAAAAAACATAAGCAACAAACTTTTAATATTTCTGGATTAAAAACATAAAAACAGCATTATTCTTTTTTTAAATTTAACAGAAAACTAAAAACTAGCTGAATCAGTAACTTTTAACACAGAATCGAAAACAATGTCGGTTACAAAGCCATAACGCACAATACAAGGCAACAATATCTCCAAAAACTCCAGCAAAGTTAACAACAAAAAACAACAAGAGCAGTATGAGCTACAACAGCAACATCAATTGATGTTTGAGCTGCAGCCAGATAAGCTACATCAGCAACAACTTAACTTAAACCAGCAACAAAAGACACTTCAGCAACAACAGACAATTTATAAACAGCAACAACACCAGCAACAACAACAGCTACAATAGCAACAGCAACAGTAACAGCAGCAACATCAAGACCCGACAGCAACATCAGCAATCGCGACGGCAAACGCGGGCGTTAAGCGGTGCGAGCGGACCGCCGCCGCCCGACTGTCGGCGGCTTTTTGGAGCTAGTGCTTTTGGGGGCGCATGGGCGTGGCACTGGGGAGCAGCATAGTGTGCACCCTGTTGCGCACACGTCCGCCGGATCTCTCTGATCTCCTCGCACGCCGGCCAGGCCGCTCTGAGTGGGAGCGAGAGGAGGCGAGAGCGGCCATTTTGGTGGGAGCGAGACGGCGAGCGGCGCAGCGCAGGCGTCGGCGACGACGGCAACGCCAGCAGCGACTGCAACCGCTGTCGCTGCTGCTGCTGCCGTTGCTGCTTTTGCTGAGCGGTCAGCGTTGGAGACTTTTTCGCGTGATGTGTGTGCCGGAATCTTGGGGCTCCAGAGAAAACCACAGAAAAAAAGGCAAAGAAAAAACTGCGAGCGGTCGCCGGGGAGAACTCGTTCCGCCGTTGAGCGAAAACGCTTCGAGTGAAACTCGCATTGAGGTCCCCGGGGAAAAGCCCGCTCCAAAAGAGCTGCAACACACTGACGGAATTGATTTTCCAAACTCGACATCTTCGCTTTTTGTTATTAAAGTGGAAAAAACGAATTTCAACTGGGGACTTGTCGTTGGGCACACCTGACGACCTGGCAAATGGCAGCTGGTTGGCTCGAATTGGGTTCAATTAGTTGCCACCAAATGGCAATCTCGTTCGGGCGGAAAGCCAGAAAGTCCCATTTCAAAATCACAAAATTTAAATTATTTCAGAGCAGCTTTCCTTCATGCAGAACGCAGTGTAAATTATTAATTGCGTGCTATTTGGAAAAGTAATTGGGAACTTTACAGCCTTTGGAATACATTTGGAGGTCAAATTATTTATTTCAAACTATTTTCATTGGCTTGAAAATGAAGGAAATAGGGCGTACTTGAGCGATAAAATATTTATTAGATATATGGTATTTCATATAGAAGAATATGTATGTACAAACAAATTTTGAGATGTCTTTAACACAACAAAAACAAATATTTTAATTTAAAAAAGATAATCTTTGAAACGAGAATTAAGTGAATAAAACACACTTAATAAATGCATAAATTGTCAATATTTTAAACCATTTTATTACCGTCAGTGGGTGTACCTTCCAATTAATAATTTAACAAATTTTAGGCAAATTTTTAAACCAATTATAAGTGCTTAAAAACCGACTGACTGAACAATTTTTCCCTCTCTTCTCTTTTCAGGTCTGCGTCTTCGCGTGTGTTTGTGTGTTTTTATAACATTTGTGGATTACGCCTATAAAAACTACACCTCACCGCGGAGCCAGCGGAGGGCACCAGCTACAACAAAGGGTTGGTATACGAATTTAAATATTTGCCTTTTATTGCCATTTGATATTAATTCGAATTCGAGCGGAGCCGGAGATTAAAAAAAATAAATCAGGCAGCATTTTAAATAAATTCGCTTTATGGCTCGCCCAGCCACCGAAGTCGTAAAGTCTTTTGTCTAAGCGAGGCACCCAAAACCGAAAACCTAATTGCATAATGATTTAATCCCGGCCCACGGCTCCGGTGCATGAATCGATCATAATATCGCTCGGACAATCCATTAAAATTTCTCGCATAATCGCTTTAAAAAGCCATTAACATGGTCATAAGTCCGAGCCGTCGGGATTTGCATCAATACTCGAAACTCGAGTGCGCGAGTTCTGGTTTCAAGCTCAGTCTCGGTGGCCATTAAATGGGAATTCTTCACAAAAGTATGCATAAAACTTTACGAGGCATGCCTTTGTTTTCGCTTTTGTTGGTCCCGATTTTATGATTTAATTTGGCAACTGCTCTGTGAATGGCTTCAAAATGGTCACCCGAAAGCGATGGTGACCGTATAAATATGATTTCCAGTGACCGCTGCTGCACTGCCGCCCAGAAATTGCACGATTTGAGCCGTTTTCATTGCGATTCGATTATGGATGAGGCCATAAAGTGTATTCTTGATTGCCATTAGTCGCTCGTAAATTTGCTAACGAATGAGTCGTCTCGACCCCGGACGAAAAGCTCCCTTCCCTTCCGTTCCCTTCCCTACCCTTCTCTACCCTCATCTCGCCAGCCTACCTTGCCGCCAAAAGTTGCAGAGTTCAGACCTCTCGATTGGCGGAGCCTTTGCTCGAGTATCTGCCAGAATCCGCATCCAAGAAGATACTGACAAAGACGTTATTCCAGTTTTTAATCTGCTCAATTGGCCGGCGACGGGGGGCGGATCGGCAGAATCCGACATCGCCATCGGATTGCGAAGGCGAAGTAATTAATATATTGCATTAAATACTCGTAATCACGCATTTTTATTGGGGATCTCGGCACACACAAAAACAACAACAGCCAGAAATGTCCGCATGGCATTAGGGCGATGCACTTTAGATGGATATGGATATTGTGGGGTAACCGATTCACTCAAATTATATGTATCCATTTAATAACTTGTAGTTTCAAAATTTTAATTTTAGTCTATACTATTTCATTAAAAAAGTATTATAATAAGAAAATAATTGTATGTCTTTTATTGATTCTAAGTTTTTGATTAAAATTTGAGCGTTTAAATAATGCTCAAAAAATAACTATTTTATTTTTATTATATTAAAATTTCTGTTATATTAGCGTTTTGAAAACTACTTCTTGTTTGTGTTGTTTCAGCTTGAAGTATCAATAGTACATTTAACATTTAAAATGCAGTTGTAACTCTTTAAAAATGATTTCCAAAGTCCATTCCCGAGTGACCCTACCGCTCACTGATTTACTTCATGCATTAGCCGTACCTGCGTCATTTAAGCCAGGCTGAAAGCATTTTGAAAGCTTGTAATCCGATCGAGAAACATTCAAATTATTACATAAATTATAAATGTGCACAATCGTGCTCATTGAATATTTTTGGATGACAGGTGCGGATGACAACGTGTCACCCAAAAGCAGTACATTTCCTTTTTTATCAGTGTCGTATACAATACAGGGGCTAATTCCTATACTTACTATATATATATTTATAATTCGAGATGAAGTCAGACTGATAATGACTGAAAATCGCCTCCACAAATTGTCATCTGCAATGGGCGCTTATCGTTAAATGTACATAATGTGCTTTATTGTCACTTAAGTACAGATTTAAATAATTTTATGACTTCATTTCATTTGTGGACGATCGCAGTGTCGGCGATCGTTGTTGCTAGAAAGTCTATTTAACAACAATGAAAAGCAAAAAAAACACCCATCTATATAAATAATAATCGCTCATTATAAGTAATCAATGACATTTTCACCCGCATATGAGCTCATTAAGCTCCGTAATTACAGTATTAATAACTACTGGAAAGACAACGAGAATAATGATGTTGATAATGGGGCCTCTTGATCAAAAATCAGCAGAAACTTATGATTTTTGAGTTATTTATTCTGCGAGACCAGGAGCACGAAATATACAACGTATGCCGCATATTAATCTGAACTTTGATAGCTTAATGGTTTATTATTTCTTTAAAGATTGGATTTAAAAAACGATTTAAGTTATAAAAGTAGTCACTATATAAGAGTGTTTGATGTATTAAAAAAACAAAATGGCATAAATAATTAACAAGTTTTCAGTTAGTAACAAAGCCTGAGACATTTAATAAGATATTTATCTCACTTATCCCAAATTTCATTTTCAAAATACCTTATGCGAAATGACCTGTCTATAATTAAGCCTAGATGCCTACTTTAAAATAATTAAACCACTTCACTGTGCTTCAACAGAGCGAATAAACTTAGTTTCCCTTGGGTGTTTTGTTAGTTTTCCCTCTCAAAAGAGGAAAACTCACGAACTAATTTGCGTTAATTGCCCTTCACAGCGCCAGTACACAATGGAGCTTCAAGTGGTTATTGCAGACATTTCCATTACAAAAGCATAACAGTATCAATATTCCAGGCATTTGCATAAATTGTACCCCACAGTCCGCTGATCGCTGGAATGTCAAATAAATTTGCTCACCGAACGCATACTTGACTAGAAAATCGTTAGTCGAAGTGCGGCAGAAATGGACAGTTAAATAAATCGAGAGATGTCAGCGAGACAAGAACTAAACGAACTTGGAACAAAAACATGGTCAGGGACTTGGATTTGGAATTTGAATTCAAATTTGGACGCGGACATGGAGTGCATGCACAGAAAAAGCACTTCAAAAAACTTTAAAAACGACTTAAATTACAAACATAATTTTCAAATTTAAATTTTTTTGAGACTATTACATAGATAATAAATATTCCGAAATATAAATAATACAAGGATGTCACGGAAACGTACATATATTATTTTTTTTTAATATTCAAAAGCGCTTATATAAAAATGATTTCACAGTTAAAATAATTATATTTTAACATCCTTCATGTATAATTAGTCAATTTTGCAAAATTATTTATCAATATTTCTAAAGCTTCTAAATTTTTTGGCATCATATTTTTAGCTATTGGGATCAATGAATATTACCGAGACACTGAAGATTTTCTTGAGACCATAGTATATATGCATGATAGAAATTTTTTGCACCGATACAATTTGTAGGAACTTTTTGTTTTATAGTTGAGGAATATAATAAACATTTTTCTCTGTGCAGTCGCATTGTGACATTCTCGAGCTTCGAGTTTGATATGCAGAACAGTCACTCGCGTGACAGTCGAACCGCCGAGAGGATTGTGGTGCAGGGTGGAGTGGTGCAAAGTGGTTGCGGTGGGTGGTGCGGGACGAGGGCGTGGGCGTGGGCGAGTTAGTTTGTTGGCATTTCGCACGCATCCTTCATAAATTAGCGAGATTTATGCGCCGGGTACTTAGATTCGCTAGAAAAGCGACTTGAAATTGTGGCGGGGACATGGATATGATGTGGAATCGATACTAAATTATCCTCTTTGGCGACGAACTTCCTCCTATTTTTTCCTCCATCTCTTTTCCCGCCGGAGACACACCCAGAAAACGCCGTCTCTCTCTGCGCCCGGCCATCTCTCTCGCACGCTCATTATGCGCACTCGTTTTCGGAGTCGAAAAATCGATGGAATATGCAAAATATCGTGAAACCGGGATCCGCCTAAGTCAACAGGGAGATTCGGCTAACCCCCAATCCATTCCACAAACTCTTTCGGAATGGAATGTAAATTTGAACAGCGTTTCCTTTGTTTTCTCTGTGGCAAAAGGGCCACCGAGCTGCTGGCTTTCTGGCTTTCAGTTATTCTAAAATGCTTTTCGCTCTGCGTATCTCCGGCCCCAAGTGTTGCCCAATGTAATCCGGCTGGTATCTGTATCCCACAGATACGAACGCACAGACCACTCAGTCTCGAGACTGGGTTTCAATTTCGGGTTTTTCAATCGGGCCTCTAATGCCCAAAGGTGGTCAAAGTTGTCCATTTTCAGATTTTAATCGCTGGAATTTGTTTTAAGGCATCGGAATTTATGTGACAGCCCAAATTTTGAGTGTGACACTTTAGAAGCGTTTTTATGGTTTATTAAAAAACATATCTGTTTGATACCCAATCCCGCAGCTCGTTTCGAATGCAAAGCGAAAACTAGTTTTTAATTAAAATCTAATTCGCTGGCTCTCAGGGAACAGAGATGGGGATAATGCTATATGGTATATAATACGAGGGTGGGAGGGGATTTGGCAATGCAGCGGGCCAAGTGGAACTGCACTTGAGTCCCTTTTAGGCCGAAACTGGGGGAAATCGATCGAAAACCATAAAACAAAATGTTTATATTTCGAGAAGTCAAAAGTCAAATAGGAAACGTAAAGATCAACAGACCGAAATCTGCCATTGGTGGGCTGTTTCGAGGAGAAAAAACGAAGGGGGAACTGCTCTCTCAGCACTTGGACTTAATTGAAATTTGAAATATGGTATTATGTGCGCGCAGTTCGGAAACAGTTCATAATGCCAAGCTCGAGCCAAGTTCGAGCACACGATTCTTGTGCTTGTTTATTGAAATGCTCGTAATTATCCAGTCGAGTGTAATGAGCAACTGGCTCAAGTGGAGGTGAATCCCCATCCCCATGCCCATGCCCATTCCCGCCCACCCGTCGTTCCAGCCCAATGCCAATGCCATATGCACTTGTCCATGAAGGCAACTCGTCTACAGAGTTGGTCAGGCCGGGCCGTTGCCTGAGATACTACGCAAATGGTAATGGAGATACGCCGACTGATCGGGATGCTCCGCTTAATCACCTGCAGATGTGGTTCTCGATTGGATTATAATTGGAATGGCTCACCTCCAGACAAAGTAGTCCGGGATAATGGAAAAACCATTGTATCGGAGGCACTCCTTAACAAGTTCAGTAAATATAAAATTG